GCACACACACACTCATGCACGCGCACACGCACAGGCACGCACACGCACGCACGCACGCACGCACCCGCACACACGCGCGCACATGCTCGCACGCACGTGCACGCACGCACGCACCCACGCGCACGCACGCACGCACGAACGCACCCACGCACGGACGCACGCATGCACGCACGCTCGCACGCACACGCACGCACGAAAGCACGCACATGCACGCACGCACGCACGCACCCGCACGCACGCAGGCACGCACGCACCCGCACGCACGGACCCGCACTCACGCAGGCTCGCACGCAACCGCAGGCACGCAGGCTCGCACGCACGCACCCGCAAGCACGCACGCACGCACGCACGCACGTACGCAGGCACCCACGCACGCACGCACGCAGGCACGCACGCACGCCCCCCCAGACACACACACACACAGACACACACACACACACACACATTCACACACACACACACAAACACACACACACACACACACACACGCACGCACACACACACCACACACACTCACACACACATACCCATACACACACACATACACACATACACACACACGCACGCACGCACGCACGCACACGCACACGCACACGCACGCACGCACGCACACTTACACTTACACTTACACTTACACTTACACTTACACTTACACATACACTTACACTTACACTTACACTTACACTTACACTTACTTTTACACTTACACTTACACTTACACTTACACTCACACTTACACTTACACTTACACTTACACTCACACTTACACTCACACTCACACTTACACTTACACTTACACCTACGCTTACACTTACACTTGCACTGGCACTTGCACTTTTACTGGCACTTGCACTGGCACTTTCACTGGCACTTGCACTGGCACTTTCACTTGCACTTGCACTTACACTTGCACTTGCACTTACACACACACACACACGCGCACACACACACATACACACACACACACCCACACACACACACACACACACACTTTTTGCGGTCGCGGCGTCGGGGCGGAACACGTCTCCGAGCGGAAGAGCGCGCTCGCGGCCAGCCCCTCAGATGAAGGGCAGGGGTCCCACTGGATGGTCAGCCATGCCGTGCGCATGCCCGGGCATGGGCAGCGGCCGTTCCAGGGGGTAGCGCGCCAAATGCGGCACACGCCCCCCCCCAGTTTCACACCCACGTGGACAGAAACCACGACATCGGCGGAAAAGGGAGCCCAAGCCGGCGGCCGGCCGTCTAGGAGGTGTCAAAGGAAGTCCGCCAGCCCCGGCCCTCAGAGGAGCGGGGGGGGGAGGAGGGAGGGAAGGAGGGAGGGATGGAAGGGAGGAGGAGGAGGATCGAAAAGGGAGGGAGGAGGAGGAGAGATGAGGGAGGGAGGAGGAGGAGAGATGAGGGAGGAGGGAGGAGGAGGAGGGAGGAGGAGGAGGGAGGAGGAGGAGGAGGGAGGAGGAAATGGAGGAAATGGAGGAAATGGAGGAGGATGGGGAGTGGGAGAAGGAGGAGGAAACAGGAGGGAGGAGGAGGAGGAAAAGGAGGACGGGCGGGAGGAGGAGGGGGAGGAGGAGGAGGAGGAGGAGGAGGAGGAGGAAGGAGGGAGAAAGAGGCTTTGCGGCAGCAGAATGCTGCTTTCCAGTTGTGGCTCGAGGACTCCCTCGCTCGTGGCGGAGGCGGAGCCCACCACATCACGAAGATCCCAGGTCCCACCCCCGAGGAGGACAACGACGTCATCACAGATGGCAATGACAGCATAGTTTCGGACCTCACACTAGTCCGAGGCCACAAGGGCGACTACTGGATGAAGTTCTGGGACCCAAAGGGAAACAAGTTGGAGGTCCCCTCCGAGGCCCAGTGGATCCGAGAGCACAGGGAACACGCACGGTACTCATGGGATCAGGACCATTGTTCTTCCACCTCGCAGGACTTAGCCGCTCGTAAGTATTTTCCTGCCAGCTCGGCGCCTGGTGCTGACCAGTGGCGAACAGCTGATCTACGGCGCCTACCAAAACCAGGACTGGATATCCTAACCGATTTGATCAATGATATCTGTAGGTTGCAGCAGTACCCAGGTCAATGCTCAGTCAACCTCGTGGCCCTGAAGCCCAAGACCGAGGTCAGCGACCGACCCATCACCCTTAGCAGCGCGCACAATCGGGTCACTATGAGGCTCTTCAAAGGCCAGATCTCATCTTGGGAAGAAGCTCGGGCTGGGTTCTGGGATGCAGCCATCAAAGGTAGTGATTGCCTGCAGGCAGCCCTGACCAGCGATGTTTTCGCTGAGATCGGCGGGGCGTTGCAGGTCTCCATCGTCGAGGGAGTGCTAGACCTCGAAAAGTTGCTCGACACCATAGATTTAGAGAAGCTCGCCCAGCAGGCCCTGAAGTTAGGCTACCCTGTGGTCCCGTTCTCCCCGGGGGTCTTGTTCCACACCGCCGTCAAGGTCCTCACCACGCCCATCGGGGCCAGCGAGCCCCTGTACACCACTCATGTCTATACTTCAAGGATGCGGACAGGGTGTACAATGGACCAGGCCCTTTTCTATGAGGTACTGGAGAGAGCCCACTATCAGATCCCCAGGCCCACCATCAGAACCTGGGTAAATGACATCAGAGCCCGTCTGGCCAGCAGCCCCGACATCTTGAAGGACACTTTCCCCAGCTGCATCGCGGGCTTCTGTCAAGGACTCGCTGAAGTAGGATGCCGTATTTCAGAGGAGTCAGTCGTCTTGGCCAGCAACCCAGCCACCAGCAAGGCAGTCGCGGGGACCCTCTTGGACCAGGGGATCCACATCAAGCCCCTCCGTCACACCAGGGACCTCGGGATGGACGCCTCCGTGGGGCGCCGTCGGGCCCTCCAAGTCCACAGAAAATGCCGTACCCGTGGGCTCCACAGGATTAGAAACATCAGGAAGCTGGCCAGGGCCACGACCAAGGTTCGGTCTCTCCACCGCACGGGCGCGCAGCCGCATTTTCTCTGGGGCACCCAACGTCACGAAAACTCGCCGTCAGAAGTATTTGTTTCTACGGCGCCAGACCGCTGCCGCCTTTGGAGTCTCGAAGTCAGGAGCAGGCCTCACGACAGGACTCCACACCCTGAAGGTATATCCCTCAGGAATCGACCCCGCTATATTTCTCAGGACGAGTCTGTTCCAGACCTGGTTCAGATTCATCAACAACGAATCCGGACTCATGGGAGGTATTCAGAGAGCCTGGACCCAACTGAGAGAAAAACTTCGTTCGCAGTACCGTTGGTTCCGTGTGAAGTCGCACGTGTCGGCGGTCATCGCCACGCTCTTCGACATAGGCTGGGAGCCCACCTCTGCCTGGCAGTGGACGGATCCCACAGGGCAGGTTTTCAAGGTGAAGCCGCTCAGTTGGGACTAACAGCAGCTCTTCCTTTTCCACATGCAGTTCCTCCTCACCATGCGCCTCTGGAGGCTCACCTGCTCCAAGAGGTACAATTCCACAGGTCTGGGGGAAGGAACAGGCATCACATCTACCCGTTCATGCCCAAGCAGGATCGCAGCAGTCATCAGGAAGCAGAGGAAGCAGCTGGAGGAGGAGGAATTCAACAGGGACCAGAGGGCCACAAAGTAGCAACACCTCACCCTCCTCGCGACCTACCCCTCCGCCATGTCCGCCGTTGCGTGTTCCAAGTGCTGGAGCGAGGCACGACGTTTCCGAAGCAGGGCTCCAAGATCGAGCCGACTGTTTACTTTGCGGCCAGCCGAACGCAGATTATTTCCACAAGTTCTGGACCTGCTCCGGGCTCCCATCGCTAGGTCTTGAGGCCATCCAGAACACCCAGCATTCCATTCCCCAGGCCGTCCAGGAGTGCCCCCAGAATGCATGTCTCTGGCTCCACGGGATTGTTCCCGCCAACTGGGCCCTCTTGAAGGTTCACAAGCACATCAACACATTTGGAGTCTTCCAGTATCATCATAAGTACAGGTTCGGCCACATCCTCATCGGGGCCACCGACGGGGGCGGAGGGGAGCATATCATGGATACCCGCCTCCGAGTATGCCGTTGAGGAGCCGACCTTTGGACCACCTCGATGCAGTTTGTGGGGTCACTCTATGGAGGGATTCGAGGCTTCCAGTCAGTCTGTTTTGCCGAGTTCGCCGCTAGAGCTTGTTTTCTCCAAGTCACCGACGGACCCATGGTCGTCGTCACGGATCGTTTCTATGTCATCAGAGGAGTTCTGAAAGGACCCAGAGCCCGACATTCACAGAACCCGCTGGTTTGGAAGAAGTTCTGGACGTATGCCGGTCGAAAGCCACCCGACGGAGGAGGGGGCGGCCAACGAGCCCGCCATGGGTGCTTTATGTGAATGAGCAGGCCGATGAGATCGCCAGCTGTGTTGTCCGTCGCCGAAGAGGTCCCCCCCGCACGCGCGCCAAATTCAGGGAGGACACATTCAGGCCGCCTCGATTTGCGACCGCCTCGCAGCCATCCACACCCACTAGTGGGAGAACATGGATCAGTTCCCCCAGGAGGACGAGGAAACCAACGATGAGCGTAGGAAATCAGAACCACTAGGAGTGTACAGGCCCTCCAGCAGGCTCTCGCCACCACCTGCCACTGCCTCCTCTCTGCCCCATGTTGGCCCCGACTTCAATCTCGCATTCCTCAGGTGCACGAAGCAAGGCAGTGTTAAATATCGCATGCTCACATGGTTGAAACAACCCTGTAGGCCCACTATTCTCGCAGTTCACCAGGTCCACCACTTTTTTTACAGTCCACCAACGGGATCTGTTGGTGCAGTCGTTGTGGGGGGGGTTGTCGGTTCGGGCCCGTAGCAAATAAACGCATTTGTGAGCCCCCCATTGAAGCAGTTGGCCAGCTGCAGTACAAGGACGCCCGCACGCGGCGGGACTCATTCTTCTCATGGGAGTGCGCTCGGAGGGAGGAGGGAAGAGGAGCAGGAGAAGCAGGATCCAGGAGGGAGGAGCAACGAGGACCGAGGATCGCGGCGGGAAGAGCATGGCCCCCGAGGCGGGGGACGGCCCCCGAGGCGCAGGGTGCTCTCGCGGCCCCGCCGCCGGCCGCGGCCGAGGCGCCCGGCAGCCGCGGCGCCCCGGGCGGCGCAGGCCCTCCTTCCTTCTCCATCCTCTGCCTTCCCTTCTCCTTCTTTCTATCCTCCTCGATCCTGCATCCTCCTGCATCGTCCGTTGCCGCCTCCTCCTCCTCCTCCTCCTCCTCCTCCTCCTCCTCCTCCTCCTCCTCCTCCACTCTCCGCGTCCATCCCCCTCGATCCCCCATCCTCCGATATCCTCCACCTGAATCCTCGATCCTCCATCCTCCACCTCCATCCTCCTCCTCCTCCGCCACCTCTATCCTCGTCCATCCTCCGCCTTCTCCATCCTCCTCCTGCTCCTGCTCCACCTCCTTCTCCTCCTCCTCCTTCTCCCCGTCTTCCTCCACCCTCCATCCTCTGTTCCTCCTCCCCCTCCTTTTTTTTCCATTTCCTTTGTTTCCGTCTCCGTCGTCCGCGCCGCCCCCACCGAAGATCGTCGCCGATCGCCGCCGTTGCGTTCGTCGTCGATCGTCCACCTTTTCCTCCTCGTGATCTTCCTCCGTCTTCAGTCGTCCTCGCTACTTTTCCCTCCGCGCTCTTGCCTCCTCCCGCTACTGCTGTTGCTGCTGCTGTTGCTGCTGCTGCTGCTGCTCCTCCTCCGCCTCCTCCTCATCCTCCTCCTCCCCCTCCTCCTCCCCCTCCTCTTCCTCCTTCTCCTCCTCCCCCCTCCCGGGAGGGCGCAGACCATCAGAGGAGGAGAGGTTCGAGGAGCAAGGATTTCGGGCGTTTTGTTGCACGGATCTCTCAAGCTCTCCGCCGCCTTGAGCGGTGTGCCTTTCAGAGCAGGAGCGCAGCAACGCCACAGGAAGGCGTGGCATTGGCAGCGTGGCTCCGCACTCGTATCACACGCTCCAGCGAGCAAAAGCACAGCAAAGCCACAGGAAGGCGTGGCATTGGCAGAGGAACTCAGCATCAAAGATCACCAGAGGAGGACATGTTCGGGGATCGAGGTTTTCGGACGTTCTCGTTGGTTCTCTTCGATTTCCCAGTCTCGGGTTAAGTCGGGCATGTCCCTTTACAGAGGAAGATTCAAAAATAGTCAACATATAATACGGGTACGATTATCTTGCAATTTTGAACCATTTTGAATATTTGTGTTGACTGTTTTGGGGGGTTTTCAATCCGCCTGTCGGTGGACATGCCCGACCTAAGTTTCGGGGTGATTTCCAACAGCTGCGCCTATCGGAGAGCTTTCCGGGGGTGTCCAGATCATCTCGAACGGTCACGGCCGGGGAGCGCGCCGAGCATCAGACAGGGTCCATTTCGATCCGATCGAGCCAATTCGATGCGGATTCTTGGCGGCCCGATCCGACGGACGATCCGCTTTGATTGCGGTATGCTCTACCCGGCGATCAAATGCAGCCCGATGTTTGTATGGCGTTGTTGTGTACCTTGGCGCAGCCGATCCGGTTCGATGTCGATGTCGTGCCGGTGCAGCCCGATCCGATGCACATTTCGGTTCGGTCCGATTTCCTGATGCTGACTGACTCTGTCAGAAGAAGAATCACACGAAAAACAAACAACGATACCGATACCACTACCATGACCTCGGTTTCGTGCCCTTTTGGGCCTCCTGCGGGAGGCCCTTGTCGCCACCGCTGGATTCGCTTCGAAATTCTTCTGGTCAGAGCACGCCCGAGAGAGGTCTGGGGACTAGCGGCATCCGTATCGGCGTCGGGGGGAACGACTGGCCCTCAGGTCCGGATCGGCGGTTCGCGGAGCGGGGAATGCTCGGAAGGCTCATGCGCCGAGTGGGGAAAGGCTCAGAAGACTCAGAAGGCCTTTCTGGTCTTCTGAGCAGCTTGCCAGGCCTTCTCCGAAGCCGCAGAAGGCTTCTCGGGAGGTCTGGGGGCTTCTGAGAAGCCCCGCCGCCGGCCGAGAACCCCCCCGCCTTGGAGCAGGCCAGAGGCCAGGGATCGGGTGCGTTAGCGGGGGGGGCAGTACTTTATTGCCCCCCCTCCCTTCCCCCTTCTCCCCTCTCCCCTCCCCTCTCCCCTCCCCTCCTCCCACGAGGTTACACGTTTTTCCCCCCCTCCTCCGCTGAACACGGGTGAGGGGGGAGAAGCGTAGACGCTTTTGGCCCGCGGTGGCAGTTCAGGGCCCATTGAGGGCCCCGTTCCTGCAAGCCTCGATGCGCCCGTGTTTCTCGCCCACCCGTTGCCGTCCGCCCAGCCGGAGGGGGCAGAGCAGGGGCAGCGACATGGGGGTGGGGGGATGCGGGCTGCGGGGGGAGTGCGCATCGGCCCCAAAACGCCCAGGAGGAGATCCCCGTTTCGCCATCGGGGGCCCATCGCCGATATGTCGTCGATGCATCGCCGATTCCAGCCCGCTCCCAGGCATGCGATCATTGTTTCTTTCAATACGCGGTTCCCGGAAGTCCTGACTCAATCCCCTGGACCGGTTTTCCATCCTGAAAAGTTCTTTGACAGTCGCGGGGCCCCGCGAGGGCCTCTGGAGGCCGAAAATGGTCAAACAAAGTGACTTTTTACGACGCGATCTTGTTTGGATTGTCCCCCTCCTCAGCCAGTCCCACCCTGTCCTGTCGTTTCGGAGGCTCGGAATCGGAAATTGAACGCTGTCGTTGAATCACAGACCGCACGCAGAATCGCTGACAAACGCGCGCTGAATCGCAGACTCGCCCCCCCACCCCTGAATCAGAGACTCCGCCGGCCGAATCAGAGACTCCGCCCGCCAAATCAGAGACTCCGCCCGCCGAACCCCCCTTCCGTTGCCCCTCGGTGGAGCGGAAGTGGGGGCCCGCGGCTGCGGCAAGGAGGCGGATCCCCCAGGGAGGGTCACGGGGGGTCCGATCGCCCACGTGTTCCGCGAGGCTCCCCGGCGAATGCGTATACGCCACTTCCTCCATCATCCATCCTCCTCTTCGTCTTCCTCTTCCTCCTCCTCCTCCATCCTCCATCCTCCCTCCTCCCTCCTCCTCCTCCTCCTCCTCCTCCTCCTCCTCCTCCTCCTCCTCCGTCTCCTCCTCATCCTCCTGCTTCGGACGGGGCCCTGCTCGGATTGTATAGTAGCACTATGTCCTGCCCCCCGCGGGCCTTTTTCCAGCCAGGACGTCACCGTTCACCATTCACCGTTCCTCCTCCTCCCCTGGAGGTTGGCCTTCCGACTTCCAGTTGTGTCGGACACGCACCCTAAACGGTGCGAAAAAGTGGGGCGGTAGGTTCGCGTCGTGTCGACTGGCTCCGACCCCGCCGCCAGCGTTTAACGTTCAGCGTCGCTGGCGGCCTGGAATCGGTGGATGCTGAACCATTTGCTGTTTCAAAGACGGCTGATCGTTCAAGGTTGAAGATTCCCGCGCGCCGGAGTCGACGCTACACGAACCCGCGGCAATGCCCGCCCCACAGACCCCCGACGTTGTGATTTTTGTTCGCAGCGCCGACTCCCAGACCGGTTTCTCATCCCCTGTCGTGTTTGACGGTTCTAGGGCTCGGCGAGGGCCGTCGTCGTCGTCCTCGTCTTCGTCCTCGTCCTCGTCCTCGTCTTCGTCGTCTTTGTCTTCCTCATCCGCGTGCGCTGGGAACTGGTTCGCTCACGCTGGCCATTCCCTGCTCTGGAATGCCCACCTCAGCTCAGCACTTGTGCCACTGCGGTGCCAACCGCCCACGCCCCGCCTGGGACCGGGCTCTGCCCGCACATGTGTGTCTGCTTGCCTCTAGGCCTCCCAGACTGGATCCGAACAGCTGGGGTCGCAAGATCGCGCCGCATCTCCGATGCATAGCCGATGCGGCTCAATGAGGAGCCCGAATTTCTGCGCGCCGGCGTCGTCGATACACCGCCGACGTCGCGGATGCGTCATGCAATGGCGATCGATCCTCTGACCTGATCTACTCAGACCCCGTCTAGGAGGCCTTTACTGCCTGCCTGCTCTGCGGGATCCTGCAAGATCCTGCAAAGCCAGGCTAGCGCGCAGGATCCTCCAGGATCTTGCAGAGCATGACTGACCCGGGTTTGCATTGCCCCGGGACAGTTTGGTGCCTGGCTGGAGGAGGAGGAGGAGGAGGAGGAGGAGGAGGAGGAGGAGGAGCACGGTCAGGAGGACGAGGCGGAGGAGACTTGGGAGGAGGAGGAGGAGGAGGAGGAGGAGGAGGAGGAGGAGTACGGCGGGAGGAGGAGTTTGACGCCATGAGGTGAGGAGGTTGACGGCATGGGGAGGCGGATCAGGAGGAGGAGGAGGCAGGAGGAGCGCGAGGAGGGAGGAGGAGCAGCAGGAGCAGGAGGAGCAGCAGGAGGGCATCCCGGGGTGCCTGCCTGCCTGCCGGCCCCGCGGCTCACGGAGGGCGCGGCTCCGCCCCCGAGCTCCGCGCCCTTGGGGCGCCCGGCGCGCGCATGCCGCCCCCCGGGCTGCCCGCCGCGCGGCGCCGCCACGGCGTCGCGCTCCGCGGCCCTGCGCCGTGGAGGCGCCGGGGGGCGTGCTGCCTGGCGGAGGCGCGCCTCACTCCAGCGATCGCAAACACGGATCAATGGGGGCGTGGATCAGGGACGGGTCCCGCTTCCATGGGAAATCGGGGATGTCCGCCGCCGAGCGAGGCGGCACTGGCCGCATGTTGAGGAGGGCACCTACCCCGACCCATGGATTAAGCGATCGCGCGCCAAAGCCATGGATCGCTAATCCATGTTTGCGCGCCCCCGACTCACCCATCGGGACGATCGAAATGGATACTTACGGATAGAACGGGTACAACGACTGACAGCAGTTCGCGTTCATTCTGAGCAGGGTTCGCTGTCGGTGTCGCCGCGGACGGTGTCCACTCGAGACAGAGGTCCGCCTGCCCAACAGCGTCCGCTGCTGGTTTGGGGCAACATTTGTTGTTGGGCATTGCCCAACAGCTTGGTGGAGGCGGGCCTCACCCAGCCGTCCCACCTGGAGCATATGCATAACCAGTGGCGGGCTGTTTTTCAATCCCTGGACTTCTTGGGGGTCGGGGACGACGTCGGTGTGGTGCATACTTTTGTCCGTTTCCCAGAGAAACAACGAAACATTATACACCAGAATCCCGTACACACCAGGATACGGTTTCTTGTGCAAGTGCCAGTGCAATGCCAGAAAAAGTGGCGGTGCATAGAGTTTGTTTCCCAGACATGCGACGTTCCGATGTTGTAAGGTCGGCATCCCTGGAAGTCCCAACCCTGTCTTCCCCCGCCGGGACCGACGCTTCGTCCTGAGTCGTTTTTTGATGGTTCCGAGGCCCGGCGAGGGACCGCGGGGCCGAAAACAGCCAACACATTTCCTTTTTGTTCCCCACTTAGATGGGTGCGGCCTCATAAGTAGTTATAGGTTAGGTAAGTGGTTCTATTTTAGGAGAGGTTTGGATGAGTTAGGATTGGTTAGGAGGCCTAATAGGTTTTATAGGAATGCCGATCGTGATAGTGCCCCATAGCCCCCCCTGTGTTTCACGATCGGATCTATAGGAGCTTACAGTGTCCTATCATCAGCAACACTTGGAATCCCTAAACTTATATGTTTCACCTTTTTTTAAACAAAACAAAAAAAACGATTTTTCATTTCTTCACTATTTTTTATTACTTTTACTATTTATCATTATTTTCACTATTTTTCACTATTGTTTCACTTTGTTTTTTTACTTTTTCATTACTTTTCCCCTCCTCCTCCTCTTCCTCGTCCCCCTCCTCCTCCTCCTCCTCCTCCTCCTCCTCCTCCTCCTCCTCCTCCTCCTCCTCTGCCCCCTCCTCCCCTTCCTCCTCGGCGCCCCTCTTGGGGCCTCGGCACCCCCTTGGTGCTGGCACTCCTGGGCCTCGGCACCCCCAAATCCGAAGCTCCGAAACTCCTCCCATTCCTCTTCCTCCTCCTCCTCTTCCTCCCCCTTCTCCTCCTCCTACCCCTCCTCCTCTATCCTCTTTCCCCTCCTCCTCCCCCTCCTCCTCCTCCCCCTCCTCCTTCTCCTCCTCCTACCTCTCCTCCTCTATCATCTTTCCCCTCCTCCTCCTCCCCCTCCTCCTTCTCCCCCTCCTCCTCCCCCTCGTCCTCCCTCTCCCCCTCTTCCTCTTCCTCCCCCCCCCCTCCTCCTCTATCCTCTTGCCGCTCCTCCTCCTCCCCCTCCTCCTCCTCCCCCTCCGCCCCCCCCCCCTCCTCCTCCCCCTCCCCCTCCTCCCCTTCCTGGATGTTGCCTGGGTGTTGTTAGCTGGGTGTTGCCTGGGTGTTGTTTTCATGCTGTTGTTTTTGTTGTTGCTTGTTGTTTTATGTTGTTTTTATGTTGTTGTTTGTTGTTGTTTGTTGTTTTTTGTTGCCTGGTGTTGTCTTCTCTTGTTTCGTTTTTATATGTTTATTCATTATGTTGTTTCTTCGTTTTTTTTTTATTATTTGTTCTAACTACTGTTACCCCCCCCCCGCCCTCCGTCACCTCCCTCATCCGTTTCCTCTTCCCTCCTCAGCGGGCCAACCGCTTTGCGTTCGCTTCCCTCCTGCCTCCCCATTCTGCTCCTCAGCGGCCCAACCGCTTTGCATGGGAGGAGGAAGAGGAGGAGGAGGAGGAGGAGGAGGAGGAGGAGGAGGAGGAGGAGGAGGAGGAGGAGGAGGAGGAGGAGGGGGCGCAACGTTCTGGGCGTGATTAAAAACGAAAGTTCTGAAGCGGCCAAACCGCTGCACTGTACAACTTGCAATGTAAAAGCGGTCTGCCGCTGCGGAAAGTCAGGAGAGAAAGGAAGAGAAGCAAGCTGGTTTGTTTGTGATTTTTCTTAGAATTGGTTATTTTTTCATGTTCACTATTTGTTTCACTATTTTCTCACTATTTTTCATTAGTTTTACTATGTTTCTTATTTTTTAGTGCATGTTGATCGGATCCTTTAGTGCACAAGAGCTATATATAGTGTTTTATAGAATCCGCACCCATCTAAGCAATCAGAGCTTGCCTCTGTAGGGGTCCTATAGCGGATTCATATGGTTAGGTTAGGTTTGCCTCCGATTTTCGCTGCGCGCCCGGGTGCCCGGGGGTGCCCGCAGGTGCCCGGGCGTTCCCGGGAGTGCCCGTGCTCGGGTGCCCGGGTGCCCGGGCGTGCCCGGGGGCGCCTGGGGGTGCCCGGGGGTGCCTTATAGTCCAATGGCTCGATAGCCCTGCAACTCTATAGACCTATAGCTCTATAGCCCTATAGCTCAATAGCTCTATAGCCCTATAGCCCTATAGCCCCCTAGCCCTATATAGCCCTGATTGGTTTAGTTCTCCGGTATCATTTTTTTACGACGCGATCATGTCTGGCTTATAAATACCTTACACCGAGCATCGCCATCGTTCGATCGTGACCTTCTGGGCAGGTGTCCTCCCGCATCCGTCTCCTCTTCCGGGGCCCTTGGCCCTGGGGGCGCGGGAGGCGCGAGCATGCGCGAGAGAGCGCCACGGGGGCGCGGGGCGTCGGCTCTCCGGGGTGACCCCGGTGATTGAAAACAGACTTGTGCTGCTCTGTGTGTCACGCAGGTGTCCCAGGGAGACCTTTTATGGATGGAGCGTTGGTTGTTGATGTTCGATGCTCCTCGGGACGCGTCACAGTGTGTGTTTAGCCCGTTTAGCGCTGTCGATAGCACGCGGCCCGCGTTGGCCTTCATTAAGTACACCGACTGCGCCGCATTGGAGGGATCCAGTGGACAAACCAAACGCACGTTGGCGCTAGCACAAGTTCTGAGGATCACTGAGATGTGCCATCTCGCTACGGCTCCCCGATCGGTGTACCCTTGTTCCCCCGGTGTTGGGGGGGGTCCTCCGCAGACTCGTGAAAAACCGCGCCGACCTCAGGAAGTTGATCAGCGTATGCAGGTTGCTGTTCCTCTATCCTCCTCGTACTTGTCCTCCTTGTCCCTGCAGGGGAAAGCAAGCAGCAGTGCGGCAGGTTCGCGTCGTGTCGACCAGCGGCGACCCCCGCCGTCGGCGTTCGACGTTGAACGGCGCAGGCGACGCAGAATCGGTCGATGTCGAACGAGCTGACGTTTCGGAAACGGCCGATCGTCGAAGGTCGAACGGTCCCCTCGGTGTCAGGAACCAACGCCGAAGACGGCACGACACGAGGCTGCCGTGCAAATCAAAGAGTCCGAGGTGCGCCCGGCGCCCGGCCGCGAGGCGTTGCCGTGCCCCGCGCGCGAGGCGTCCTGGGAGATCTTCTCGCGCGTGCGCAGCGCCGCGCGCGGCGACCCCTTCTTCGTCGCCCGCCGCCGCTCTGAGAGCTCGGGGGCCTCACGAGCTGCAGCGCCGCGACGGCTCCACATCCAGCCAAAGCCTGCCTTTCTATGTCGGCGGCGAGCGCGGGGGGGAATTGAGAAGGAGGCCTTCTCAGAAAGCGGCGGCACTTCTCAGAAGTTTTCGCGCCTTCTCAGAGGTGTTTTGTGTCTTCGGGGACGGCTCATAAAGCTTCTCAGAAGGCCGAGACTTCCGAGCCGTCTGTTGAGGTTTTCTATGTCTCACTTCCCCCCAGGGCGCGCCGCCTAGCTAGAGCCTGCCTTTACCGAGGCCTCCCAGGTGGGGTCGGAGTTGATGGGGTCGGAGGATCGCGCCGCATCGGCGATGCATCGGCGGTGCAGCCCGATGTGGTGACCGATTTTCTAGACGTCGACGTCGTCGATGCATCATCGACGTCACCGACGCATCTCCGATGCATCGCCGATACAACGGCGATCGGCGATGCGGTGCAATGATCCGACTCTACCTATTCGGGACCACGTTTAGGATATCTCTATCTACAACTTCACATCCAGCCAAAGCTAGCCCGTGAGCCCCAGCTTCCGCGTCCAGCTCCAGCCAAGATCCTGCCCCTTCTTCGTCGCCTGCCGCCGCTTTGATATGCAAGGACAAGCAGCGGCACAAACATGTGATCGTGTTCTTCTTAATTGCTTTGCCGATGGGCGCGGGCCCTCGCGTCCCCCCCCCCCCCCCTCGATGGAGTAGATCTTGGCTCTGTGGGGCGCTTGTTTCAAGCAGATGGACGGCTCCCCATCGGATCTCTCACTGGAGCATTGTTCAAATCAGTCGCATTGAGCAAAAGTCTGGAGCCAGACCCCCCCCTCCCCCCCCCCCGCTCAATGTCGAAACGCCGAACAAGAAAATGTTCACCATGAGCTTTGCTTTTGGAACTCCGCTCGGGTGGCTCGGGTCTGCGCCAGATCCCGGCGGAGGCGCATTTGGCTTTGCCCCCCCGGCGCGCTCTCCGTGCGCCAGGGAGGAGAGTCCAGCGACAGTGAATGTTTATTCTGAATGTTGTAATAAAAGGATGGGGGTCATAATCTTCCCAGACGAGGGATTCTAGAACCCCCCAGACCAGACACGAAAGGGTGGCCTTCTCCCCAGACCCAGCGGAACCCTCCAAGACGGCTCAAACCAGAACCTCCCCCCCAAATCAGACCTTCCCTCTGATATTTTGAAGTCTGGAGTATGTTGCTTTTTGTTATGGAGTTCGTGGGCCTCACGGGCTGTAGTCGGGTCTTCTTCATACTTGCACCTTGAAGAATCGAGGGTGCCCTTTGTGTGCTGTCTATCGCGTCTCATGTCCTCATGATGCTTGGGGCGCACAGGCCCCCCCTGAAAGAGACCAGGATTCCTCTCGGGTGTGCTCTGCAATCAGGCCCGGCTGCAGGTCACCCGCGGGTGCACGAAGATAAACGAGCTTCGCGCGTCGCGCTTGGGGCAAGGGTGGCTGCCCTTTTCGAGGGCTCGACGCAAGGGCGCCAAGATGGTCTCGCGTCGCGCATCGCGGGGCGCGATGCGCGAACTTGGGTGACTTGGGCGAGCCTCTGCTCGCCTCAAAGGAATGAGGCGGCGTCTCCGCGGGCAGATTTCCAGGCCGCACAGCTGGGGTCGAAGCGGATGGGGCCTGTGGATCGCGCCGCGTCGCCGACGCATCGAAGGTGCGTCTCGATGTGGAGCCCGATCTTCTCCACGCCGACGTGGTCGACGTATCGCCGATGCGTCGGTCCTGCATCGGCGATGTGGCACGATCATCCGTCCCCATCTACTCAGACCCATTTGGAAGGCCTCCAGTCCGTGCGGGAAGATTGTGCCGATGATCCCTTCCTCCCTCCGCTGTCAGGGCTGCCTTCTTTGACTACCATGTCAAGTTTGGAGGGCCAGGCGTGGAGCCCCAAAAAGGTCCTGATGATCCCAACGCGGCATAAACCGAAGCGCTCGGGGATCCGCGCTGATGTCTGGGTCCGCTGCTGGACCCCTCCCCTCGGCTGGCGCCTCCGGCGCCGCCTGTGGAGCGCTTCGCGCGCCGGGGGCGGGGGGGGGCTCGGCGCCGGCTCAGGAGGTCGGGGTGGGCCTCCGGAAGTCTGTGTGCACGCCGCTTTTGCTTTGTGCAGTGGGGGCGCGTGCCAAGAAACCAGTTGGGTTCTGCCAGGGTGCCCTGGGTTTCTTGGAGTTCGATGGGCCCCCGATCAGATCTTGACGGTTTTCGATCGGCGCATGTGTATTTTCACTGAACAAATCGCGGATTTCCGGGTTGGGTTTCTTGCGGAGGTTTCTTGTGGCCGAGCCCCCACTGTATTCCTACAGACTCACGAGATGTTGCTCCCGTTGGGATGAGGCGGCGTCTTCGAGGGCGAACGGTCCCCGATACCCGAGCCCCGTCCTCCATTCACTTGGTCAGACACGGACATTGTGGAACCAGTGCCGGAAGTGGCACAACATATATTTGAGAAGCGTCAGGCCTGCGTGGGGAAGCAGGCACGCCGTGCGAGACAGAAGGCCAAGTACACTCCGGCCTCCTAGGAAGGAAATCCCAGTGGCCTCGCGTGGCGCCGCTCCTCGCAAAGCTTCCCTCTACCGTTCCACCCACCTCCAATCCCAGCTTGAAAGACATCCTGGTCCCCCCTCTGTTGGACATCACTTTGCCTCGGCGCCGATCTCAAGGATTACCCCAGTTTCTGAGGGCACATCCCTAGCTGTCATCGCCTCGGGCTCGCCGAGCATAGGGATGGGGCTGAGTTCGAGGCTGGCTACTCCACTCCCTCTGCCCCAGCTCTTCGCGCCGAGGGCGAACAGCGTACACACCGGTAGGCTTGGCATCGCTCGGACGTGCGCGTTTTTTTTTCGGCGAGGACCATCCAGAACGAGGAGCCTCCTGGATCATAGTGAAATAAGCACGTACGAAATCGAAACATGCACGGGGCATGGACGTCCGAGCGACGGCAAGTAGGGCGCATGCGGCCCAACCAGACAGCGGGCCTTGCAGACGGCGCTCGCTCCAGAAGCCCTGGGCCTGCGGCTGGAAGGCATGTTCTCGGCATCGATAAAACATGCACCAGTGGCGGTGAACCAGAAAGTTGTTTTCTCGCTCTACCCCCTGTTCTTTTCTGACGCGATCTGGCTTGGCATGGCGGGGGCTGGCAATCTCGTATTCGCCCGATGTCTTGCCCCATGCCTTGAGAGTCCGGGGGTTGCTTTGGTCGCACCTGGTCTTCAGCTAGGCCATGGGCCAGACTGGGCCATTGTCAGAAATTGCCTGGAAATTCAGCGGCCACATTCTTTTTTCCCCGAGCCCTCGATGAGCGTCAACATTTTGTATCTCATGGTTTTCTTATGCTTGGCCGTGGGTGTACTGTTACCATTTGTGCGTCGTCCCCCACTGACGACGTGCGCGCTCAGAATTCTTGCATTATATGTTCGGTGGTGGGCGCTCTCTGATCGGCCATGCCGCCTGGGGAAGGATGTACTACAAAAAGCTTGTATTACATGCTCGGTCCTGACGTGCGCCTCCAAGGGGGGGCGCATAGTTGTAGCATGTTTTTCTGCGACCTATGCTCAGTATCGCTTAACCGATCCCTATCCCCATCGCCAGTCCCACCACCTTATCATCCCGGTTGGGGATAATGCCCCTCGAGACCTGAAGGGGACAGCCCAAATCTCCATTTGGGGGGGTAATCGGCCAGTGGGGCCCAGGCCACGTCAGTGGGAACAGGGTTCGATTAAACGATGCTCACATGAGCGACAGGAGAAAACGGGGTCGTCGCCGACATTGGCGCGTAAGCTGCCCGCGTAAGGTCGCGCGTAAGCGCCCTCGTCTCCAATGTAGTATGCCGCGCTGGCAGCCCGCTTCAGCCGCCGCGTACGGTCGCTGGGCCATCTCGCGCAAAACCCGTTTTTGATCGTCGCTCACATGCCCCCTCTCGTCCTCTCCCTTCCCTTGGCTCCCGACACCTGCAACTCTCGCCCGCGGGAGCCCGCTGTGCGCCGGGCCGCCGCAGAGACCCCACGGAGTCCGAGTAGATGGGGCCAGAGGTTCGCGCCGCATCCGATGCATCGGCGATGCCGCTCGATGTGGAGCCCGATGGTCTCCACGCCGACGGCGCCGGTGCATCGGCGATGGCGTCGATGCATCGCCGATGCATTGGCGATGCGGTGCGATCCTCTGCTCCAATCTACGCGGACCCCATCTAGGAGGCCTCTAGGGATAGGCCGGGCCTTGGAACCCTGGTCGAAAACCAAACACTGCATCTAGGATGCAAGTCCTGGGAGGTTTTGAAAGTTCTGACTCCGCATCGGTATTTGCACCTGGTCGAGCACCGGCTGAGTCTGGCCTGATCCCGCTCACTCTGGCTTACAGTAGGGGCCCTGAAGAAGGTACCCTTTTCGTTGGGGAGGGGCTCGGTGTTCCTTGATTGCTTTACAGTTTGCCTCATGTTTTCCTGAGGTTTTCCACGGGAAATCGAAGCTTAACCTGTGGACAAAAATGGGCCTCGTTCCTTATTTAGGGTTTCTTCTGTCAACGCCCCGACTGCAATCCCCCGTAATCGGGCTGAGTAGCATTTAATCGTTCTGACGCAGACCATCCAGGGGGGTCCTCCGAAGTTTTGCGCAAGTTTTCTCAGACCCGCTCGGCCGCGCGGAACTCTTGCGGTCCATGTGTATGCAGTTGCTTGTTCCCATTCTCGCGTCAGTAGCAGTGTACGGTTCTCTGCCAGCGTTGGTTCGCATCGGGCTTCAAGACAGGTCAGGAGGAGGAGGAGGAAGAGGGGGAGGAGGAGGAGGAGGAGGAGGAGGAGGAGAAGAAGCCAAGTCACCGTCGTTCCCGTGGCTTGCCCAAGAGAGTTAGCCAGGTCGGCTGCGCCCAGCAAGTCTCGCGGCAGCTCTACGCCTGGCGGCCCTCCGAGCTCGTGGAGATTTGTTGCGCCTTCTTGGGAAGCCCCCGTCGCGTGCACTGGTGTGGCCCTCCGCCCTCCTGGAGAAGAGGAGTGGTGATTGCACCTCCTCCTCCTCCTCCTTCCTCCTTTCCCCTCCTACCCCTCGTCGTGCTCCATCCCCCCCCACTCCTCCCCGTGCCTCCTCCGGTGGGTGGACGGCAGGTGGAGTTGACAGGACGTTGGAGATGAGGCGAGGCGAGGGAGGGGGAGAGGGAGGGAGAGAGAGGGAGAGGGAGGGAGATTGGGGAAGGGTGGAAGGGAGGAAGGGCGGAAGGGAGGAAGGGCGGAAGGGAGGAATGGCCGAAGGGAGGAAGGGAGGGAGGAAAGGGAGAGATGGAGAGAGAGAGAGAGAGACAGTGGGAAAGTAGAGAGAGGGAGAGAGATACTATATATAGAGAGAGATAACGAAATACATAAACAAACTGAAACAACAACGACACAACACAGCAAGGGAGAGAGCGAGAGAGAGGGAGGGATAGATAAAGAGAGAGAGAGATATTCAACAAAAAAAACGCGAGAGAGAGAGAGAGAACAAAAAAAAGAAACACTGATCCCAGCGTGGACACCTACCATATTGACTGCGTGCAAGCTGTCTGGGGCAGCGCAGAGGAGCGCGAAACAACTCAACGTGGCGGCAGTATGGCGGTAGCATGGCGGCCATTGACGTCCACGGGGCGGCAGCCGGTTAGCATCGGGTGCCGACGGGGCAGCAACGAGCCAGCAGTTCGAAGTTTGCAAATGAGTTCAGAGCCCCCTGGTGCAAACAAACACTCCATTGGAAAGGAAACGAGGGAGAAGGGGGAAGGAAGGGGAGGAAAGGGAAGTGGAGGACTCAGGAGGGAGGAGGGGCGAGGATGGGGGGCAGAAGAGGAGGTGGCGGAGAGAGGGAGGAAGGAAGCAGGAATCAGGGATCCGCCCGGGTCCATGGGCCCAGGTGCAGGGAGAGGGCGGGAGAAGGAGGGGAAGTGGAGGCGAAGGATGACGATCAGAGAGGAGAAGGTACCCATTCCTCGCCTCGTTTTCTCCTTTTTGGGGCCTCCTGGGCGGCCCTCGTCGCCCCCGCTGCGTTCGCCTCGAATTTCTAGTCTGAGCGCATCCCGGGAGAGGTCCAGGGAGTAGCGGTATGGGCACCAGCTGTTCTCCCCAGAGGAGAGCACAGAGAGGGGGCATATATGACGCCGGTGCACGAGATAGGGGGTCTCCCGCGTCTCGCGCTGCGCGTCGCCGGAGGGCGACCGCCTGCTCCGCCGGGCGCTGTGGCGAGTGGCGGCCTCGGCCAGGGCGCGCCCTGCCCCTCCAGAGTCCCGCGTGCCTCCCCGACTTCGGATACGCCGTACTCTTTTGCAGGTGATTTCGCGAGCAGGGCGAAGCTGTCCGCCCGACTCTGCAAGCTCCTCTTGTGCCGATGTCTTTCCGACTTGGCCGCCGCCGTTTCCGCCATACCTCTGCAGAAAGATTCGCCCCCTACTTCTTTTCATGGGGCGAAGTTTTCGTCCTAGTTGTTCACATCGTTCGGGGTGCATTCGCGAGACAGCTTCAACATTGAAAATCCACGAGAGTGCGGCAGATCCGATGCCGGTGCCCATCCTCCCTCCCCGGACCCCTTCGCGTCGAGATGTGGGTCAGTCTTCGGCATTTTGAGGGCCCTCGCCAGGGACCCTCAACAAAGCAACATCTAGGATGAAAAGCCGGTCACGGGGAGTGGGTCGAGACCTTTAGGGGTCGATGCCGCGAGGATTTCGGGACGTCGGGGGTTGGGGTCCTCGCTCCGCCTCCTCCAAATGCTTCGGGAGGCCTCCGGAGCCCCAAGAGGGCAAGAATCGTCGAACACTTGCAAGGAGGAGGGGTTTCCCTCGCCCTCCTTCCTTCCCTCGTTCATCTCTACTCTTCCCCTCCCGTCCCACGTCCTCCCTTTCCCGTTCCATCTTTCCTTCCATCCCCCCTTAACGAGTGAGGATGATAAGGAGGAGGAGGAGGAGGAAGAAGAGGAAAAGAGGCATACGGCAAGCATGATGTGAGCAATCAGGACGAAGTCGAGTACGAGGAGGATAACGACGAGATTGACAACGACGACGACCAATGAGACCTTTCTTAGGAGCACGTGGGTGCAACTTGTTTTTCTCTCCTGCCAGACTCCCGACGTCATGTGTTTCCACTCCGTCGAGCCCCTCAGAGGTCTTAACCCATTCCCCGGGATAGTCTTTTCATCCGGAGTCGTTTCTTGACGGTCCCCGGGGCCAGCGAAAGCCCCTAGCCTAGAGGCCGACCGAACATAGCAACTCAAATCCGTTGTAACTTTGCTCCTGTCGCGAGGGGCTTGCGCTGCGGGAGTCTCGGCGCCATCGGCGCCCACATCGCACGGCCCGGAGCGCTCTTGAGGAGACGGGCGGGCACCCTCCGCGCGAGGCTGCGCTCCCTCTCGCGGTGCTGGGGGGGCGCTCCTCTTGGGGGCAGCCTGGCGTGCTTCTCTCCTCCTCTCGGATGGGTCGGCGGCGAGGGAGGGGGGCAAGTGAGGAGGAGGAGGAGGAGGCCTTCTCAGAAGGCGGGTGGGCTGCTCAGAAGCCCCTGGGCCTTGTCTGCGAGGTTTTTTTACGCGTCGTCGGGGAAGGCTCGGAAAAGCTCTCGGGAAGGCCAGGGGACTTCCGAGCCTTCGGAGACGGCCCGCTTCTCCTCAGTCCCCCCACGGGTTCGCCGCCGAATGGGTGGTGGTGGTGCAACGGTGGCATGACGGTCAGCGTGTGCTCACATCTGGACCTATCTGGAAAACCTTCAGGGAATCCTGGAAGGAAAACAGACAGGGGGTGTTAGAATTTGAATTGCAGGGTGCCGCGCCAGGGTGCGATACGCTGTAATCTGCGCCGCCGAATGGGAGGGGAGTGGGAGTGGTGATGCCTCGGGCTGCATGCAGACAGCCCCGCTGGGCCGCCCTGGCTCGCCTCTACGGGCCCCCCCAATAGTCTCAAGTCGGGCCTGTCCCTCTACAGAATATTCAGACATAGTAAAAAGTAGTCTGGGAACGATCTTTCGAGCACGTTTCGTTTATTTTTTGGGTATATTTGAGCATTTTTGATTTCTCGCTCAAAAATCCGTCTGTCGGGGGACAAGCCCGACCTGAGAGTAGTCCTCGAACAACTCAGCGCCCTTGGGCATCGGGTCATGGGCATTGCCCCAGACTACTGGTGAGGTCTGTTGAGGCCAGCGTTAAGTCGGGCCTGTCCCTCTACACGAGGAACATCCGAAAATAATCCAAAAATAGTCAGAGGACGACGTTTTTTAGTAGTTCATTGGGGTTTTGAATATTTGTTTGATATTTTCTTTAATTTTTCGCCCAGAATCCCCCTGTTGGGGGACAGGCCCGACCTGAGGCCAGCTGGGACTGTTTGGGAGGGCTGTCTGTGCGCATGCGGCGTTGGCGCGCCGGCGACGCCAGCGAAGGCGTTCAAGGTCGAGGTCTGCGACGCGGCAGCACCGAGAGGCACGGTGACGCCACTGGACCCGACGGAGTTCAGCCTTGAACTCTCGAGGCCGCGATCGTTTCGAGGTTGAACAATCGACGCGGTGCTACAGACTTCTGCGCATGTCGACGCCGCACGAACCTACCGAACCATTACCAAGTGGGAGGAGGGAGGGAGTCATTCCAAGGGGGGGACTAATACTAAAAAGCTGAGTGCATGTAAATGGTCGGAGGCCCAGGCGGATCTCTCAGATCGGCGCGGCATCCTCTTCCCTGGCGCGCTATGTTTTTGATGAACAACGGAGGAACTGCGGATGGTCACATGGGGAGGGCCCATGGAACTTACATCCTGACGTCCAGTCCTCCAGTGTTTGTTGCCATCTTTTCCCATCTCCTCCACTCCACCCTCATCGCCGTCTGGGGGTGCTCGCGCCGTCTTCCCCCTCCCAATCATCATCCTCCGGCCCGTCGTCGTCCTCCTTCTCCAACCTGCAGCATACTCCAGATAACCTTCCTCCTTGTTTTTTTCCTGGCTCCTGGTGGCTGGAAAGAACGTCGTTCGTAGCCTCCCCCCGTTCCTCCTTGTCCTCATCTTCCTCGTCGCCTTTTGGATGAGTACTTGGTCCACACTCGCCAGCTCCAGGTGGTGCGACTTCCAGTGTTTCCTCATCTCATTTTTCCTTATCCTCTTCTTCCTCCTCCTCCTGACGGATCGTGGGTACGTACCCTCGGCATGATTTCGTAATGCGGATGCCGTCCTGTCGCCTTGGCTTTGCTCAAGTATCCATCCGGGACCTCCTTACAGTTCTTTCCTTGTTGGCCAGTGCAGGGTTTGATCGTGCAAAGGCGGTGCGTGGGATGGAAGCTATGACATTTATGATTGGCGGTCCACGTAAATCCGAAAGTGGGACGGGCAGCTCCCTTCTGGATACAAATCGAAGCCAGAGTTGTTCCAAGACGAACAAATCTACATAATGTTTGATGTGATGATGGAGGTGCAAAGAGACATGACATCAGTCAAATGCCTCGCAAACTCAGCGAACGTAACAGCAGAAGCAGAGCGCCATGAAGGCTGGTGTACATCCACATGTACGGGTCCCGAACCTACAGGACAGCTTGCGGACGTTGCAGGTTATTGCCACAGGCTTGCAGGAAGCTCAGGACGAGGAGGGCATTCATCAGGTAACAGAAACATGTTAGTGATCTGGGAGCCGGCAACAACTGCACCGACATTCTCGTTCCCACGGGCCCTTCAAAATTGGTGCGGTGAAAATTTTGATCCAGCGCAGCATAGGTTGGGTTCTTCAAGAAGGCCTCGCATACGAAAGCTAAATGGGACACTGGTGCAGATATTGCGTTTCAGTAGCAACGATGCAAGTGCACGCCGCATTATCGACAAACATATGGGTAAGGTAAAGAGCATCTGGCACAACGACGGCAACGGCTACAAGTTGGGAGATATCGAGATAAAGTGGACGGAGAGAGTAGTATAATTGAAGGGGAGGGGAGTTGATGCATGGGAGGAGGTGGAGGGGCAAGGATTGCATTACGAAAGGGATGGGAAGAGGCAGCGCAGTCCTTTTATGACGACGTAGAATAGCAGGCAGGCGGGAACCGCAGGGGAGGATCTGTTTCCATGTTGGCAGCCAGGCCCAAATTATGGAAATACCAGTAGAAGTACAGTCCGTACAAGGTCAGTTTTGGAAAAAGAGGGGCGAGTGGGCGGAGGGTGGGAAGTGTCGGCGAATATCTGGCGACGTGTTTTTTTGGATTCGCGGGGCAACTGGTGCAGTAGAGTTTTCCCAACGAAGTGTACGTGACGATCTTCGTTTAGGTGAGGGACCGAAGAGAATACGCATTCTCCCAAAGAGTGCCAGGTCGTTGAAATCAGACGGAAGATTGGCAGAACTTTTGAGGGAGCTCTGGGAGGTCCTCATGGGTCTGGGATGTAGTTCTAATAAGCGAAACATGCAGGGACGGAAAACGAGAGCATTGGGAAACGGACGGTGGACATATTTCAATTTGTTGTGGACGGGAGGAATAGCTCCAGAGGAGTGGGCATCTTGCTACATCGTAAGTGGGCAGGCAAGACTGGCAACATACATTTTGTGAGCGGGCGGCTTCTGACTGCGGAAGTTGAGCTGCATGGTGATTTGGTTTGGCTGATCTCTGTGTAATTTCCTCACGCAACGTATTCGGATGCGAAAGTACTTGAGGTATACGCGACACCTTCGGAGTTGAAGCGTGAAGGACGCACCAAAAAAAGGCCCGCACGATCATCGGGGGCGACTTGAACGCAGAGGCGGGCGGACCGGAAGAAGACGAACAACATGTAGGCACATATGGTTTGAAGAGGTGCGTTTCTTGGGGTCTGGTACTCCAACACCTGGGCCGGGATGGAGGGCATGATTTCGACGCACACATTTTTCGAGGTCGAGTGGGCCGATGCGAATCATGCAATTTTTGTGGGGACAGAATACACCGGAACAGTTTGACTATATATTCGCTGGTCGTTGTCCGCAGTTTTGTTTGACAGTTGGGCAATCGACCAACTCCTTGAAGCTTGGTTCAAACAACCGTTTTGTTCGCGCTAATTTCCGGGTTCTTCCTGCCCCTAGGACAGATGCCGCTGCCCGCAGTCCAGCCAAGCGGAAGCGCACAAATTTTGAGTATCGACCTGATGTGTTTTTGGAGCAAGTACTTTCGAAGATGGGGGAACCCAGAGCTATGCAACGGCTTCGTGGACAAAAGGTGCAATGAGCTGGAGGACGCCTTGCGCGAAGCCGCTGGGGAACCAGCGCCAGTCGTGACGAAATCGAGCAGGAAAGACGAACGACGCGACTATCTTGATAAGTTGTTCTCTGCGCGGGGGGGGTCCTCCCCCGCAGTTGTCATCCGAAAGAGCAGCCAGCCATTAGCCAGAACAAGAGGGAGGTCACACGGATACGGAAACAACATTAGAGACCATGAGTTGGTAAAAGGTTGGTGGGATCCAAAGGGGTCAAACACATACCGCGGGCGAAATCGATTCGAGAGTGAGCTCTTCATTGCGGAGGCTGTAGACTCGTCTGGGAATATTCACCGGGAATGCCGGGCAGTTGCGTACGTTTTTGGATTTTTAAAGATACACATGCAAAAAACGAGGACCTATACTGGGTGACGGGGCCGCAATTTGCGCGGGTGGCCGCAGAGGGTAAATGCTCGCCGCCAGTGGCCCGAGATGAGATCCGGCACGCGATCAAAGCATTTGAAAATGGAAAGTCCAATCACAGGGGAGCCGTGAAAAGCGAAATGCTGGAGAATGGCGGAGACGCCCGTGCAAAGTTGATCGCCCCGTTCAGCGACTGTGTGGACCCGTGCGCACAGACGCCAGGCAATTGGAGGCAATCCTCAATTCTTGCTTTGTTGAAGGACGTCGGCCTTCGATTGCCTGGAGACTATCGCCCAAGTGCACCGCGCCGTTCTTGTGAGAGCTTTTCAGCAGATTGTTCCGGAGAGGCTTGGCGCCTATCTTGGACCCGGCCCAGTGAGTTGATCAGGTAGGGTTTCGCGCGGAATACAGCTCTGAGAACCATATTTTTGCATTCGCTTCAGGAGGATTGCGATGTGTTGGGGAGGCTGATTTGGCTTGCCGCGTTCTATGTTTGGTCGAGGTTTTTTGACGGCATTTCACGCGACGGCATCTGGGCAGCGCTATTAAGACAGGGAGTGTCGAGGCCGTACGTTTGCATGATTTCCAAGATGTACGATGATGTTTTAAGCGCGGTTCATCCCTTCTGATAAAGCCGCGGGCTCGGCATCAGAAGAGGTTCGAAACGGGGGGCTTTTTGAGCCCAGCGCGCTTCAACGAACGCAGCGTTTTTTTTGTTCGGCCGTTGATTGCGCCGTGGGCGCAGAAATCATTTGGCTTCTCGCTGGATGGTGAATGGTTGACACATGCGCGTTTTGCAGACAATGTGCTGTTATTGAGCACTATCTTGGCGGGTCTGAAGCTCCTGCTTGCGAATGTGGCTCCGGCATGCGCGAGGTTCGGTTTTGCCCCTGGCCCCGGGGAAACCGACATACTGACGAACGTGCTGGCTGGGAAAGGCGAGGCGGGCGGCAGTCGCGCCATGGTCAACGGGGCGCACATTGAATTGTTGAAGCACGGTTTGGCCACCCAATACCTGAGCGGGAGAACATTGCGTCGAGAAGCGCAGAACGCGGAGCTGCGCAACAGGATGCACCTGCGCATGGAGGAAGGTTCATGTTTTCAGGATGAACTTACGAATGCAAAGTTCCCGCTTCGTTCGAGGATGCGGCTGTTTGATTGTTCGTTCACTCCGCGCGCGCTATACAGAGCAGTTTGCTTGGCGCCAATCTGGCCAATACGGAGAGGGGTTCGTTCAACAAACAACGTGTCATGCAACGCCTAGCTGTGGTTTCTGGGAGGAGGAAAACGCACGATCGTGGCATTTCGTCGCGCAGCTTCTGATGGAGAGGTGATGGAAAAGGGACGTAACAGAGCATTTCGAGACATGGGTTGCGCGGATTCAACGCACGGCCCGGGATATCGAACAACGTCTGGAGGATATTCGGATCGCCGGTTGGTTTGCGTGGCGCAGAGCCCAAAAGTGCAAGTTGAGAGTTCTCTGTCTTGAGATACGCACCAATGTTCTTACACGGCACCGTTGCAGAACCCATGCGGGTCCAGAGCAAAAGAGACCGCATCGGGCGCCCTGCAATGAGGTGGGCCGACGGTTTCGTGGACGCCCACGGCCACATTTGGACAAGTGCGCCCAGGAACCCGAAGGAACGGTCCGAATTTGAAGGGTTTCACCACGCGCTGAATTTTGAGTTTCCCGTCGCTATTTGGCGAGGCGAGAGTCGAGTCCTGTCGCCTCGAAGCCCCAGCCTCCATGCACTTGGCGCCCGTTCTTTGTTCAGCCTTGCGATTGTGTTGATTGGCCGAGGTGCGCAGTGCACTTGAATTGTCCCTTCGAGACGTCGGACGGAGCTTCTAGCGATTGCCATGTCATCCTCTACGGGTTGCCAATTTCCAAGGAGAGCAGCGCCGCTCCTTCGTGTCAGCGGCTGTCGCGCCTTTGACGACAGGCCAACCTAGCAACCGTCCTCCTCCCACTCGCTTCCCTCCCCCATACTGGGAACTTCCTCGCGCGCGTCCCCAGCCCGCGCCGAAAAGGCCGCTCCTGGGCGAGAGTGCTACAGATTTTGGCGCAACATCGCCGGGCAGCAGGCGAGCAACCACAGCCTCGCGCACACATATTCGGGGCGCGCCGATGGGGGAACTTCAGGCCGCATGGCTTGGATCTACGGTTGTCCGCGCTTGCGGGGGGAAAGCGCATGTGCAGTTCTTGATGGGCGACTGGATGTTGTATTGCTGTTTTTGTTGGGGGAATGGTGGGGCTGTTACAGTTGCTGATGGGGGCGTTGTTTCGTTCCTCCGGAAAGGTAAGTTGCTTGCCGGTCGTCGTGTGCTCGCTGTTGATGGGCCCGTTTGATATCGGTATACCGTTTTTGATGAGGCCATCTGTTCTTCTACGGACGCTACGGGGACATGCTGACCGTCTTACTTCAGGCGCTGGAGGGAACGTGCGCTCATGGGGCCGTCGATGACATTCGTTTCGATGGCGAGTCGATGATGCGCCTGGAGGCCACGCTTTCAGCGAGGGCACGATCGGCTCTGTGGGAAGTGGGGCTGACGCTACCTACTGCGGCCTTGTGCTCGCGCCGCACGCTGCACTTTCTGCTCGGGATTGGTTCGGTTGTATGTTTGCCTGTTAGCCAGGATCGCCCGGGCTGGCTTACCGCGCACCCTTGGCGTCGCCAGGTTGACTTGTTGTGTACTTTCATGCTCCCAGCCGCCCGCTCTGCTGGGTTCCGCTGTGCCGCAGCTGCCGCGGCCCGTTCCCTCCCCTTCCCTGGCCTCCCCGAGGGAGCGCACAGCCAGCCCTCCTCACCGCGCGAGGGCGAGATTGAGTTCGAGGGACCCGGGCTTGGAGTCGGAAGGGGGATGCATCGGTATCGGTTAACCGATCCCCACGCCCATCCCCATCCCCTTCGAGACCCTCACCAACTTACCACCCCTGTTGGGGATACACCCTTCGAAAGCCGAAGGGGACAACCTACATCCCCACCTAGGGGGGGAAATCGGCCAGCGGGGCCCAGGCCACGCCGCTGGGGATGGGGATCGGTTGAACGATACTCAGCGCGCCCCTCGGTGGGTCGGGCGTCGGCGTGCACAGACCCAGGTCCGTGCTGCTCAGCAACATAGGTTGCAGCCGTGTGCGCTCGGAGACGCCACGGGCGGTGAGCACCGTCCAGAGCTTCCAGTCGCAATGGGTCGTGATCACATGCGTGTGGACTACTGGCTTCTCAGTGTTGCGAACCCAGACATGATCGCGTCGTTAAACAATCAGGGCGGGAGATTTTTTGACGTCGTATGTCAGGGAACGAGCAAGAGACCGTGATTCGACGTGCGTTCATTTACGCTTTTTGTGCCTCCTTGACCCATATCCCTGCGCATGTTCCTAGTCTTTCCCTTCCCCGCATGCCCACCTCATCATCCTCCCTCTTTCACTTCTCCTCCGTCCCTATCTGTTCGCGCGACCAGTTTACCGCGCTCAACCGAGCTCTGCCGTACGTGGTAGCACTCCCGAGTGCGCCCCACGCCTGCGCAGCCGATAGCGAAAAGCAGCACAGGGTTCTTGCGACGGGTTAGCCATTTATTGTACACTGCAGTTTCGGATTTCACACATCCCCCCTCGTCGAGTCAAAAGGTATCCCTACATATCCTTCTTCCCTCCATAACCCTACACCTGCGTCCCCATCCCTCCAATCTCGTCTCTCTCCTACTCCTCGCCCTTGCCTTCCCTGTCTCTCTTGGTTCGTCGCGCGCGGACATGTCGGTGTTTCCCCCCATCCCTCGTCCTTCCGTTTTGAGGACCTTTGAGGCTTCAGTAGGGCCCCAGAGGGCCAGAAAATCTCGATCTTCGACGACGACGGCGACGGCGGCGGCGGCGACTGCGACGGCGACGGCGACGGCGACGACTCGCACTCCCGCGTTCCGAGGTGGAGAGCCTTGCCGCCCACCTCGGAGGAGCCGAGTTGGTGCGGCTGCTGGAGGCGTACGCCGTGCGCGGGCTTCGGGAGCACGACCCCAGGCGGCCACACCTCATCAGTCTTTCCTCCATTCCCCTCCCCCCCCTCCCCGTCTCCTCTTCCTTCTCTTCTTCCGTCTCCCCTCCTCCCCTCTTGACCTCCTTCTCCCTCCTTTCTTGTCTTCCCCCGCAGGAGGAGGAGGAGGAGGAGGTGCAAAACCATCCCTTATTAGCACCCCGAGAAAACGCCTGCTTACGATTCCTGCGATCTCAACTTTACTGGTGTGCCGATGCCCGCTGGCATTTGGCTCAAGATCGATCGCGAGGCTGCCGCGCAACAGTCTTCTCAGGATTTTACATGGTAGCGGAGCTGGTAAATCCCCAGACCGGCTATGTTCAGTCCAACCCTCAGGCCGCCCGCGATGTCAATTGGTGCAGCCGCTTCGGCTGCGTCCACTTATATTTCCGCCGAGAACGCGAAGCTGTACATCTCACGGAAGTTCACTGGTTTTACATACGAATGCGAGAATAATTTCAGCGACCGCAAGTTCGCATTTGGAAAAAGATCTATGGTAGATCTTTACCGAAAAATTGGAAGGCGCATTAAAAAAATCGCGAAGGTGCATGTTTACTTGCCCACCAAAAGATCTACAAGTGGCATTCCGCTGTCATCAGTTTTGCAATCTCGTCAAGGATGAACTTGGCGATGAACCCAGAAAAAGCCAGAGACAGTTATCGAAGTACCAACAATGGACCGCGTTGGTGGAAAGTTTGGAAAAGTGCGGCGTCGTCTACTCCCTTGACTTACCATTTAGGGTCACGGCACTGTCCCCTTGGGCTGTAAGGTCCCGCGGGCTTGCCCGAGTTGCGCGTTGAAGTAACCAGCAACATCTTGTCGTGGCTATTACTCTCACCCAGCAGAGCTGAGCCAGCACAGCAGGGGACAGCAGCTGCCAAGGTCTTGTCTTTTCTTGCTTCCCCCTCCTCCCCCTCCCCCTCCCCCTCGGATCCCTCGTGGCCCCGGGAGGCCAACAAGGCGGCCCATAGAGGCACCCAAGATGGCTTGGCCTCCGAAGGCGTCCGGCGGGCCAAGAGAGCCCTAAGACGGGGAAAGAGAGCTTTGAGCCCAAAGTCCCCAATGAGACGCCCAAAGACCCTCCAGAAGCCCCCAGGAGGCCACAGGAGGCCTCGTCCTCGTCCTTTTTCTCATCCGCCTCCTCCTCGAGAACGGGGGAGTGTGGCGGACCTCGCCTTTCGGATGGTGTTTTCGTATGGTTTTCTCAAGGTTACCGCATCCTTCCTCATCTTCCTCCTCTTCCTCCTCGTCCTCTTTCTCCTCCTCTCCCCTCCTCCTTATTTTCCTCATCCTCGCGCAACTCGTCGTCCTCCCCTCCCAGAAGGAGCACTGGCTTTTTGCTGTTGCATCCCCCCGAAAAAAACTGGCGTCGCCCCCCCCCCTCACCGTTTTGTGTTTTTTTGGGGGGGGAGGGGCCGCCCCCTATTTCTCCGTCTTCTCCTCCAAACACCTCGTCCTACTTTTCCTCCCACCCCGAGGCAAGTTTTTAGGGCGGGTCAGGCGTTTCGCTTGAGACGTCCTCACCACTTATGACTCTGAGGCTTCATAATTGGCAACAGTTTCACAGATGGAGGGCGGGCCGTTTTCAAAATCGTTTTAAATTTTGCAAGAGTCACTGGTTGAGGGCGGGCCGTCTTCAACGTGTGGCTATCGCTTTAGCGCCGCGCACATCCGTGTAAACATTCGCAAGAGCTTCACGGATTGAGGGCCGGTCGTTTTAATATGTGATTCTCGCCGTAGCGTTGCGCACATTTGTTTAAATGTTTTCAATTGTTTCATTGGTTGCGGGCGGCTCCTTTTCAACATGTGGTTTTCGTCTTAGCGCCGGATTGCCATCATCAACGTACCGTAAATGGTGTTTTGGATGGATTCAAGATTGTGCGGGTGCAACAGTTACGCTGGTCCTCTGTGTTGAAAGCCTAGGAATGGCGTTCTGGCACGATTCAGGATCGTCCAGACGCCACAGTCAGGTTGACCAGTGGCGTTGGAATCCCGAGAACAATGTTTTGGCATGTTTCAGGGTCTTCAAATGGGTTTCTTCCAACGAGGCAGTTCCATCAATGGAAATGAACCGTCGTAGGGGTCTATGAGAGGGAGCTTGGGGGGAGGGTTTATTCCAACATCGTTGATGGTTCTTGGGTTTACACTTGGCCTCCTCCTCCTCCTTGTTCTTCCTCCTCCTGTTATTTTACTATCACTGCCCCCCCCCCCCCCACACACACACAGACAAAAAACGATTACACAACAGACTTTGCTTTTTTTTGGGAGGGGTGAGGGGGCTTGGGAGAAACATGCGTTGTGGTGTTATCCAACAGGGTTCGTTTGTGCAGATTTCAAACAGAATCCCTTTGGGGTGTTTTCCACTGGATTACTGTTGAGAGAGAGGCGTTCCACTTAGTTCCCTTTGTGATGTTTTCCAAAGAATTTCTGTTGTGAGGATTTCCCATCGAATCCCCTTTTTGGCGTTTCCAAAGGATCCCCACTGTGACGGTTTCAAATGTAATGCCGTTGTGGTTTGGTTTTGGTTTTCCCATGGAATACCTTCGTGGTTTTTCCAAATGGATTCTGGTTGTGAGGTTTTTCCAACAGAGTCTTGTTGTGGTGTTGTCCAGCGGATTCCTGTTTGTGATTCTTCCTTTTGGGATCTCCTTGTGGTGCATTCCACAGGATTCTTGTCGTGATGGTTTACAATCGAACCCCTTTGCGGCGCGTTCCACTGGATTCCGACTGTGAGGATTTCCAGTAAAAAATCCCATTGTGGTGTTTTCCAACGGATTTTTGTTCCGAGGTTTTCCAATCGAATATTTGTGTGGTTCTCTACAGGAGCCCCGTCGTGAAGTTTTCCCGTATATTCTATATGCGGCGCTGTTCAAAAGAGTCTTGTCGTGACGCTTCCCAATGTAAATCCGTCTGTGATGTTTTCCGGTGGATTCTCTCTTGTGCGGCTTTAGGAACCCGACACCAACACCAAGAAGCCACCGGAAGAGGAAAAATTGCAGCCTCTGTTGAATGCCGCCGCCCATGTCTTCGGGCTCGCGTGTCCCGCGCTGACGAATGCCAGCTCTGAGCGCGTGGGAACATAACGGGCTGTCTCCAATTCTCCAAGTAAGCGTCAGGATTTCCATGGACCGCGCGAGGCCCGCTTGCCGTGCGAACCCAGCCAGCCCCATGAACCCCACAAGTCCCACAAAGGTTTGCTGGGCCGAACGTGCGCCGCAGCGCGCATAGGCCCAATGCGCCGCGCTGGCCCAGCGAGCCGCGCGGGCACCATGGGCTCCCTGACTCGTCAGGGCCACATCTGGTTTCTGGGCCTTGGAAGCCCCGCGGGCCATGGAAGCTCCGTGGGCCTCAGGGGCGCCATGAGCTGCATGTGACGTTTCTCTATCATGGAAGCCCCATGGCTTGCAAATTCGGTGAGCAATGCGAGCCATCTCAAGCTTTCTTGGCTTCGTTGGGTCGCTCAGCCCCCACAGGGAAAGCGCTCCGAAATATTCCAGTGGGGTCGTGGTGCTGGTGTCGGTTTTTCGTCCCCGGCAACATCAAAAAACCGGCACCAACACCAAGACACCCACTGGAACGGCGGCCCCATGTGCGAGCTGAACCCCTTGACGATTTCGGAAGGTTGCCACGGGCTGCCGGCCTTGGTAAAGAGGGGGCCACGGTCTTGTGCCCAGGACGCGAAGGGCGGCCATCGCCTCACTTCGCGGAGAGCGGTAGATTCGAAATCGTCGGGCTTTCGTTTCGGGCCAGACGAGGGTCAGGGATGCGGCGCGGGCGGACATAGGGCGGGTGAGGGGATGGGTGGAGGGAATGAGAGCGGGACGGGCGGGCGGGGGGAGGCGTGGTGGAGGGCGGCAGTGGGGGGAGTGAAGCTTCAGTCATAGAGGATGCCACATCCTTTCCACTTTTCTCCCTCCTCTCTCGAGAGCGCCCGCTTGTTTCACTTCTCGCTTGCACTTGTTATTTCCTGCTCTCCCTCCTGTGTGCTGCGCGACGACTCCCTTCCCCCGCCCTCCTCGCCCATCCTGCGATTCCTCAGGCCAGGGCGGGCTCGCGCTGGTCCAAAACGCAATTCAAAATTTAATGAAACAAATACTCTCTTGGTGCTGGTGTCGGCTTTTGTTCTCTCAAAATACGAGCCTTCAGTGGTGTTTTTAGAAAAGGTTTGTGGTGTGAGGCTGTCCCATGGAATCTGTTGCGGTGCTTTGCAAAGGATTCCCATGGATGGTTTTCAAAGAAATGCCGTCGTGGTGCTTTCCAACGGATTATTGTTGTGAGGCTTTCCAGCAGAATCTCAGCGTGGTGTTTCCCAATGGATTCCGATTGTGAGGCTTTTCAGTTGAATATATTTTGAAGCGCTTTCCAAAGGATTCATTCTGTGCTGCTTCCTAATAACATCTCCACTCGTGCTTGCCAACGGATTTCTGTCGTGCTGCTTCGGAATAGGGCCCTTTTCGGCGCGTTCCAAAGGATTTCCACTGTGAGGATTGCCCGTAGAATCCCGGTGTGGCGCTTTCCGAAGGATCTTCGTTGCAAGGATTTTCAGTAGAATTCCTTGGCGGCGTTTTCCAAACCAGTCCTGCTGTGAGGCTTCCCAGTCGGATCACACTGCGGCGTCATCCAAAGGATTCATGTTGTATGGCTTCCTGATTGAATCCTTATGTGGTGCTTTCCGATGGACTTTGTTGTGCGGGTCCCCAAATAGGAACATTCAGTTTTGTTTTGTTTTCTGGTGTGGGGCTTTCCTACGGAATCCCTCTGTGGTGTTTTCCGATGGGTTCGTTTTTGTGCGACTTCTCCATTCTTCTGATCTTTTCCTGTTGGAGCCCATCGAGATCCTGTCCACCGGATTTTCTTGTGAGGGTTTCCAAAACACTTCTTGTGCTATGTTTTCCAACGGATTCTTGTTGCCAGGCGCTCTAGTGTAATCGATGTAGTTGCACTGTTCGAAGGATCTACATTGCGAAGCCGTCCGATAAGAACTGCTAGATTCCTTGCCAAAAAATGTTCCAGATGTTTGCTTCCACCGAACATTTCTGGTGCGCTGTTCGAAGGATTCCAAGTATGATAGTTTGTAACAAAATGCGTGTTGCAAGGCAGCGTTTTCCACATGACCGTATAACGGACTTCCTGTGTGGCACGTCGCGCAGTGTGCCAGGCCCGAGGCTGTCCAATCGAGTATTTTGTGTTGCTCAACGGTTTCTTCTCGTGGTGCATCCCAGTAGAAACCCTCAGCCATGTTTGTAAACGGTTTCGCTTACGACGCTTTTCGAATGAGCCATTGATTGGAATGGTTCCGAGCGAACTCTTGTTGCGAAGCCATTGAAACCACATGGGGGGATGCCCGAAACAAATATTGTTGCGGGCGCGTGTTGTGTTGTTCAAAGGATCTCTGGTGTGAAGCCGTTTCCGAAACAGCTTGTTAGGCTCATGTTCTACAGCATGCCAATTGTAAAGTGTCCACACGGAGTCATTTTGAAGCTCTTTCCAAACTACTCCAAGTATGCCTATGTTTCACAGAACGTGTTTGTAGCGCTTTCTCATGGATCCTTGCTGTGCGGCCATCCGCTGGGGTCCCTGTGTGTCACTTCATGGACTCCCGAGCGCGAGGCTTTCCGATGTAATCCTTCTTGTGGCGCTCCCCCAAAAAATATGGATGTGAGGCTCTCACTAGAATCTCCCTGTGGCGTTTCTTCAAGGATTTCTCGTGTGATGCTTTCCACTAGAAGCCCTCAACAGTGTTTCCAAACGGCTCTGATAATGAGGCTGTCAAATGAAATCCTTTGCTAGTGATTCCAAGCGGATTCTTGCTGTGAGGACATAGAATAGTTTTGTTTCGTTTTCCAGAGGGATTTGGTTGTGATGCGTAAGGAAGGAGATGCGCATACTGCGTATGCGAGAGAGAATGAGAATGCGAGAGAGAGAGAGAGATGCAATGGGGTAAACGAGAGAGGACATATAAGGATAATGATGAAGACGCGGCCGAAAGCTCGTACAAGCACATCTGGCGAAATTCCAGCCCCATGCCGTCTTGCACAGGCCTGGAGTTCCGAGGACCATGCTCGGGGGGGCATTAGTTCGTTTGAAGAGGTTGGCGAAAAGTGCGAGAGAGAGAGAGAAAGAGAAAAAGAGAGAGAGAGAGAGATAGATCTTTGG